CAGACTTGGAGAGTCTTTGGCCAGGCTCAGGTGGAATTGTTTGCGACTCAGATGATATTGCACGGTCCCCTCTGGTTCTCTCTCTGACTCATTCAGCTCCACTGGGGCTGGATGCCATGGTACAGACGTGGCTGAGGCTTCGTCTGTACGCCTTTCCTCCGATTTTTCTGCTCCCGGGAGTTCTGGAGAGAGTGCGCCAGGACAGGGCCCGTCTGTTGTTAGTATCCCCGTTCCGGCCGGGCCGAGTTGGGTCTCAGGCCTGATTTCTCTCCTCGACGGCACTCAATGGGAGATTCCCGTCAGGAGAGATCTCCTCTCACAGGCGGAGGGCATGCCCCCGCCAGGAGCTGTGGGTGTGGCCTCTGAGGAGGCACAACTCATAACTTCCGGTCTCTCAACCGAGGTTGTTGAGACTATCCTCCATCCAGAGCTCCCTCAATGAGGAAACTGTATTTCTGCGGAGACCACCAGCCCGACCAAGCTAACTGCCCGTTTGGTACAGTTCTGGAGTTCCTGCAGGCCTGTTTATCCGCAGGGTTGACCCACTCCACCCTAGAGGGCTTTGTGGCGGCCATTGCGGCCTACCACGCCCCTCTCGGTGGCCATTCAGTGGGAAGACACCCTCTTCTTACACGTTTCCTCTGTGGTGCGCTGAGGCCGAGGCCTCCGGCCAGAGAAGCTTATGCTAAGTGGTGGATCAGGATGCTATTCCATAGCCTCGAGTCCTCTGATCTCCCCTCTCCTTTGGGGGTCAAGATTCACTCCTCCAGAAGTTGGTCTTCAGGATGGCGAGCCCTGCCTACTTTAGCCACTCCGGACTCTTTTGTTCTCTCGCCCTAGCTGTGCAGTCTTCCACACTAGGCAGAGATTTGGAAGTCCGGCAGCGTGGGCATTCTCGTTCCCCTAGCGTTCTCGACGCAGTTCGAGTTCCTGAAGAGGAACGTCTCAGGTTACGTATGTAACCCTGGTTCCTCGAGGGAACGAGACGCTGCGTCTCGGTGCCATACTTCCGGCGTCCCTGCCGGCACTTGCTTCATTCCTAGAAGCTGACGCTGGCTCCGCCGCACGTGCTTTTATAGCTTCCTGGTCATGACGTCATCCACCGTGACGTCCCGTTCAGCTATTGGACTGATTTCACATGTGATTCAGAGCATGGGTCGCAGAAGGCGTTCCCCTAGCGTTCTCGACGCAGCATATCGTTCCCTCTAGGAACCAGGGTTACATACGTAACCTGAGACGTTTATTGTGGACTACAACTAAAACATAAAAAAAAACATTACTTGAAATAAAATAAATGTTAAATCAAATACAATAGAATAAAAATAGTTCAGCAAGGCAACTTGTCTCATTTTCATTAAATTTAACATGAAGTATTACAATTATTTAAACTGAAATTTAAACGAATAAAAAAGATATAGCTTTATAGTATCATAACAATTTTTTTTTTATATTAATTAATATTTAATATGATATTAAAACAACTGATAAAACGCATTAACATTACTAACTTTAACTGAAATGAAAATGAAAATGGAGGATATAAAAATGAATTCAAAATATGAACAAACTATTATATAAAAAAACTATGAAAATGACAAAAACACAAAAAAAATTCGCTAAAACGTGAACTAAAATGAAAATGAAAATGGAAGATATAAAAATGAATTCAAAATATGAACAAACTATTATATTAAAAAACTAGGAAAATGACAAACACAAAAAAGATAATAAAACGTGAACTAAAATAAAAATGAAAGTGGACGATATAAAAATAAAAATGAATTCAAAATATTAGTATAAACTATAAAATAAAAGCAAAAACTAATAAAAATGACAAACACATGTACTGAAACTTTAAAATTAAAACAAAAATGGAAGAATAACTAAAAGAATCTTTCTCTCGGCTCTGAGTTTGATACTTTACCTTTGAATGTCTGCGATGAATGCGAGGCACTTTAAACTTCAGTGATTTCTTCTGCACAAATGGTGAAGAAACAAAGTTAAAATGCAATTAAAATCATCACAGCGATCATACGAGCTTTCTGACAGCTCACCGGTCGACAGTCTGTCATCTCCGGATGTTTCTCATAGCTGTCTGATGCTGTGAAGAGATCTGTCTCCAGATCAGACGCCTGAAAAAAAACATAAACGCCCTTAGAATGAGCAGAATTCAAGGATTTCTGAATCTCGCTTTTGTAGTACGTTTAATAATTAGTGCCATTTCTTACCTTTGAATCCCACGAAGGAGGACTCATAAAGCCATTAGAATATGAACTCTAGAAAAGACACGAGTCATATAAGCAATAATCTCACCAGAAGTGAGCAGAATGAGAATAAGGAGTCTGAACCTGAACGTTGTTGGGTGAATAACTCCGTCCAGCTTCAGTTTTCACTGATGTGTCTTCCTAAAAACAGATATATTCGAGGATATCAGTGAACGGACACAGAAATCAAACCCATACTCTCATGTAGACGTCTTCTCTACCTTCAACTCTTGAGCTTTGTAACCCTTCAGCTCATCAGACCCGTCATCATCCTAAAAGCACAGTGAATGTTAAACATACAGACACAAAGCGGAGGATTTGATGAAGATCCACACGACTCGGACAAACCTTCAGATCTGGAGGAGGAGTGAATCCACAAGCTCCCTTCAGCTCAGAGTCATCACTCTCCTGTAACACAGACGCCACACACATCTACTGTAAACACACTATACTAACATGTTTGCATGAGATGCACAGATGAACAGCAACGTTTGCCAAAATAAACACGAAACAGAATCCCTTAACACTCAAAGAGATTTGGTTTATTCATGATGCTGGGCATCTTCTTCACTTAAAACATGCATGAAAACGAAAAAAAAAAAACGAAAAAAAAAATTTGCATAAAAATAGTAGTAAAAACAAACATGCATCTACAACATCATCGAGCGCACAGTTCAGAATATTTGCAATGTTTTTGCACTTCTTTGCCGAAATGTTATGATATTTTTTGTTTGTTTATAGAGATTGCATTCATAGTTTGACAATATATTTTTAACTACTAAAAAACAAACAAAAACAAAATTTGTAAATATAAATAAAATTTAATTTAAACTATTAATACAATAAAAATATATCAATGATTGTACAATAACACTGCCACATTTGTACACTTAAAAATAAAAAAAGAGTATCCACTAAATAGTCAACAATAATATTCTGTTTTGAAAACCATTCTACCTTAAGATGTTCCTCCTTTGCTTCAGGATTAGCCTTGTCAAGCTATCAGCAAATAAGCAACAAGAAGAAACAATCAATCATATGCACAATTCATAATACTAACACAAAGTGTTCGAACGGAGAGAAAGTAAGCAGAAATGGCATCAGGACTCACCCTGGATAAACCGATAACAAACCCTCTGTGAGGAACAAACTTAACTCGCACTTTCTTTTTCGGTTTCTGCTAAAAATATTACAATAATACTAACAGTGAGTAAAATAATGCATTAATGAAAAATGAAAGCCAAAGCAGAAAGATCTCTACCTGTTCGTCAGCCTCCTCTGTGTTTCTCGCTTCATCGTCCAGATGTGTGTCGATGTCTGGCATCTACAGAAGAAGATGGTGTCTGTGTTACTTTGAAGACATCAGCATTGTGGGAAAAAAGCATTTTTATTCTGCATAGGTACAGTAAGGTCATCTCTCACGAGAGTGATTCAATTCAATTCAAAAACTACTTTGATTCATTGATTGAGTGTTTTGAAGGTGTGTAGTGGTCACACATCGAGGCCGTCTGCTGGACACAGACCTGCACTGACAATGACAATAAAAATTCACTTCTGCTGAATTGCTATTATAAAGTATTCATTTTTTGCTTGTTTTTAAAGTTTGCATATATGTGTGTGTGTGTGTGTGTGTGTGTGTGTGAGAGAGAGAGTGAGTGAGTGAGTGTGTGTGTTTTGAGTGTGTGTATGTGTATGTCTTTGTGAGTGAGTGAGTGAATGTGTGTATGTGTGTATTTGTGTGTGTGAGTGAATGTGTGTGTGTGCGTGCGTGCGTGTTCTCTATATTAAAACTTCATAAATTTGGTAAAACTTTAGAAACATGGACTTAGTTCACTACTCTATGCTGCTGTAAAGATGTACAGTTGTGAATAAAAGAGTCACTATATGATTTAATTGGTTATAATTTCTATACAACATATTAATCTCTTGCAGATTTATTTTATTATATTTATAATTAATTATTATTATTTTTTTAATTAAATTATTTTTATTAAACTATTTTATCTCCTCATTCATCTAATTTAAGCCCCCCTCATTTTATTCTATTCTATCTATCTACTGTAGAAAAAAATGTAATTGAATTGCACTGAATTACAGACTTTCTTTAATGTGAAAGCTCCCAGCGTCTGCTCTGATGGGTTTGGAAGGAATGCTTTGACTCTCACGCTGAGATCACATGAGCAGATAACAGTAGCTATTATCAGACATGCTCTCTGAATGCAGAAGTGAGAGTGTGTGAGTGTGTGTGTGTGTGTGTGACAGAGATCACTCTCCATCAGAGAAAAAAACAAAACTAGAAAACTGCTTCACCTGAGGACTGTCTTGGACTGAAGTGCAAAGATCCATCTTCTTCACTTAAAACATGCATGAAAACGGAAAAAAAAAACGAAAAAAAAAAATTTGCATAAAAATAGTAGTAAAAACAAACATGCATCTACAACATCATCGAGCGCACAGTTCAGAATATTTGCAATGTTTTTGCACTTCTTTGCCGAAATGTTATGATATTTTTTGTTTGTTTATAGAGATTGCATTCATAGTTTGACAATATATTTTTAACTACTAAAAAACAAACAAAAACAAAATTTGTAAATATAAATAAAATTTAATTTAAACTATTAATACAATAAAAATATATCAATGATTGTACAATAACACTGCCACATTTGTACACTTAAAAATAAAAAAAGAGTATCCACTAAATAGTCAACAATAATATTCTGTTTTGAAAACCATTCTACCTTAAGATGTTCCTCCTTTGCTTCAGGATTAGCCTTGTCAAGCAATCAGCAAATAAGCAACAAGAAGAAACAATCAATCATATGCACAATTCATAATACTAACACAAAGTGTTCGAACGGAGAGAAAGTAAGCAGAAATGGCATCAGGACTCACCCTGGATAAACCGATAACAAACCCTCTGTGAGGAACAAACTTAACTCGCACTTTCTTTTTCGGTTTCTGCTAAAAATATTACAATAATACTAACAGTGAGTAAAATAATGCATTAATGAAAAATGAAAGCCAAAGCAGAAAGATCTCTACCTGTTCGTCAGCCTCCTCTGTGTTTCTCGCTTCATCGTCCAGATGTGTGTCGATGTCTGGCATCTACAGAAGAAGATGGTGTCTGTGTTACTTTGAAGACATCAGCATTGTGGGAAAAAAGCATTTTTATTCTGCATAGGTACAGTAAGGTCATCTCTCACGAGAGTGATTCAATTCAATTCAAAAACTACTTTGATTCATTGATTGAGTGTTTTGAAGGTGTGTAGTGGTCACACATCGAGGCTGTCTGCTGGACACAGACCTGCACTGACAATGACAATAAAAATTCACTTCTGCTGAATTGCTATTATAAAGTATTCATTTTTTGCTTGTTTTTAAAGTTTGCATATATGTGTACGTGTGTGTGTGTGTGTGTGTGAGAGAGAGAGTGAGTGAGTGAGTGTGTGTGTTTTGAGTGTGTGTATGTGTATGTCTTTGTGAGTGAGTGAGTGAATGTGTGTGTGTGTGTATTTGTGTGTGTGAGTGAATGTGTGTGTGTGTGTGTGTGTGTGTGTGTGTGCATGCATGTTTGTGTGTGTGTGTGTGTGTGTGTGTGTGTGAGTGAATGTGTGTGTGTGCGTGCGTGCGTGCGTGTTCTCTATATTAAAACTTCATAAATTTGGTAAATTGGTAAAAACATGGACTTAGTTCACTACTCTATGCTGCTGTAAAGATGTACAGTTGTGAATAAAAGAGTCACTATATGATTTAATTGGTTATAATTTCTATACAACATATTAATCTCTTGCAGATTTATTTTATTATATTTATAATTAATTATTATTATTTTTTTAATTAAATTATTTTTATTAAACTATTTTATCTCCTCATTCATCTAATTTAAGCCCCCCTCATTTTATTCTATTCTATCTATCTACTGTAGAAAAAAATGTAATTGAATTGCACTGAATTACAGACTTTCTTTAATGTGAAAGCTCCCAGCGTCTGCTCTGATGGGTTTGGAAGGAATGCTTTGACTCTCACGCTGAGATCACATGAGCAGATAACAGTAGCTATTATCAGACATGCTCTCTGAATGCAGAAGTGAGAGTGTGTGAGTGTTGTGTGTGTGTGTGTGTGTGTGTGCATGCATGTTTGTGTGTGTGTGTGTGTGTGTGTGTGTGTGTGAGTGAATGTGTGTGTGTGCGTGCGTGCGTGCGTGTTCTCTATATTAAAACTTCATAAATTTGGTAAAACTTTAGAAACATGGACTTAGTTCACTACTCTATGCTGCTGTAAAGATGTACAGTTGTGAATAAAAGAGTCACTATATGATTTAATTGGTTATAATTTCTATACAACATATTAATCTCTTGCAGATTTATTTTATTATATTTATAATTAATTATTATTATTTTTTTAATTAAATTATTTTTATTAAACTATTTTATCTCCTCATTCATCTAATTTAAGCCCCCCTCATTTTATTCTATTCTATCTATCTACTGTAGAAAAAAATGTAATTGAATTGCACTGAATTACAGACTTTCTTTAATGTGAAAGCTCCCAGCGTCTGCTCTGATGGGTTTGGAAGGAATGCTTTGACTCTCACGCTGAGATCACATGAGCAGATAACAGTAGCTATTATCAGACATGCTCTCTGAATGCAGAAGTGAGAGTGTGTGAGTGTGTGTGTGTGTGTGTGACAGAGATCACTCTCCATCAGAGAAAAAAACAAAACTAGAAAACTGCTTCACCTGAGGACTGTCTTGGACTGAAGTGCAAAGATCCAAATCTCCTTCCAAAAAGGGATCTTTGGAGAAGGACTGTAAATAACACACACACACACACATACACACACACAGTTTCAAATAATGACACATTTAAGATTCAAATTCAAATAAGCTTGAAAAAAATCTAGTCGCTTTATTTTATGTTCTTTCCGTTCATCATGTTTCTATCTTTTCTGGTTTGTCTTTACTCTGCGTATGTTTATATGGCAAAAAATAGCTGCAAAAGGCCAGTGAAAATACCTTTGCCTCCATCAGAGGACCATTCATCGATTTCAGAGCAACTGCAGGCATATCCTGAAATAATCCGCAGAAAATCAGATACTATTATAGTTTTTATTCATTTTTTTTTTTAAATCTTGTCTTCATTTTAATTTTAAAGTGTTATCAATTTTGTTGCATGTTTTTGTCATTTTTATTCGTTAAAAGAACTAAAACTAAAATAAAAACATGTTTTAGTTATTGCAGTACTTCCAGTGTAACTTTGAAACTTTGCTTTTGCAGCTGTCTGAAATACAATATTTTGATGTTTTCTTTATAGTTATATTAGTTTTTGTATGTTATTTTATCTAACATTAATAAACAGTTCACATTAATTTTATTGCAATTAACAAAAAATGATGTTATGCTTTTAATTTTAGTAAAAAAAAAAAGATGAAAATAAGAGTTATGTAGATTAAAACTTCATTGAATTATCCTGTGTAATTTAATTCCTGAATGTTTTAAGAACGGGTCCCTGTTGGTTTATGGATTTAAAATCCATGCTTTCAGTCTAAAGCTCACATTATATTTCTCATAAACCTGCAAACACAGAATAAATTACCTTTGATGGTCGCCGTGGCACAGGAGGCTTGAATTTCTGCAGCTGCTTCTGCAAAAATAAATAAATACAAATACAAAAAGTAAAATATTAATAAACAATTATTATTATTATTATTAATAATAATAATAATCGAGAGCGGACACTCAAATCCCAGCACATGTCAACCACAAAGAGAACTATTGTGTGTTTGTACCGGTTTGCAGTCCACATCTTCTGCTGTCTTCTCTCCCAAAGCCACGAGATCCGCGTGTTTCGATGAGGACGTTAAATCATCCTAATGTGAGAATTCAAATGCTGCTCATCTCTAACATCAATAAACTGATTATTGAAGTACAGAGTCGCTCTAAACAAACCTTAAAGTCTGGAGTGACTTTAGCTGAAGCTTCAGCAGATTTCACCTGAAGATGTAAATTAACATCATCATCAATTAAACTATAATACGTTACAGTTGCCTTGACAATATAATGGCACATATTATAAATCATTATCCCATCAGCCAATAATTATACAATTCACCAGAACATAGTATTTTTTATTAACAATCGTATATCTGGAAGCATTACTAGAAGTGTTCAAAGAAAATATAAACTGCTTGCTATTATATTGATTTTAAAATTGTGTCCAAAATTGGAAAATGAGCCGCCTTTTGTCTTAGGGTTAAACAAAGAGTTCTGGGAAACATCAAAATATAATTGGACTATATGAAACTTATTATAAGTTAAATAATAAAATAAAATGGATATTTGCAGGATTAACTCTGTAATTAAATTAAATTAAATATTGCAATGTATATAATACATTATATATTGTTTCTATTATAATGTATACATTACAAATTTCTACATTATATATTTATAAATTATTATAAATTATTTAACTTATATTATGCACTTATTTCTTTTTAATACAATAATTTATAAATTATTTAAAAATCTAAATGTATTGTATATTATTTAATTTTAAAAGTATTAAAATGATTTTATTATTTGAAAAGTAAAAAAAAAACTATTATAACTATTAATTAAAAACTTTTAAATTTGTATTTATTATTATTATTATTATATTTTTAAAAATATAATTAAAATGCAAACTTTTATTGGCTGTAAAGGTAACGTTTTACCTTAGATCCTCTGCGGTGTGTAATAATCTTGGGTTTTGACTTCTTCTGTTGAGAGAGAAAAACACATCTGCAATGAAACACATGAATCTGAAATCACTGAAGAATCAGGATTCAGAAATAAAGAGCTTCATACGGGTTTATACTCGGCAGCTTCATTCTGTTCTTCTTCTTCTGGAGCGAAAAACTCATCTGTGCCATCAATGAGCTTTAACACGATACAGAACTCATTAGAGAAAGAAAGACACACCCGACACTGATCCTCTTTTATTATCTGAGGATGATATTCACCTTTGAGCCTCGATTCAGTGAGTTTGTGTTCGTCTCTGAGCTCTTCAATTCATCTCCAATTTTATCCTGAAATCACAGATATTGAGTTTTCTCTGTTATTACATTACACATACATCCCCAACACACTATAAAAGTAATTGCAACTTTGTATCGTACAGTTCAGACTTTTGTCTCCCAATATTAAGTTTATATCTCACTATCTCAGAATTTGAACTTTCTTTCTCACTGTTTATTTCTCGAAATTCTTAGTTTATTTCTCATTAACTCAGACTTTTTTTATTGCAAATCTGAGTTTATTTTTCACAATTCAGACTTTTCACTTGCAATTCTGAGAAAAAAAATCAGAAATGTGAGGAAAATGTATCATTTGTGAGATTTAAAGTTGCTATTTTCTTCCTTTCTTTCTTTCTTCCTTCCTTCCTTCCTTTCTTTTATTCTTTCTTCCTTCCTTCCATCATCTTCGCGATGGCGCGGACGCTGATGGCTGCCTCCGTGGCGTGCTCCGCAGTTGTTTTTATGTTTTTGTTAGTTTGTCCTGTCTTTAGTTATATCCCTGCAATCAGTTTCACCAGAGACGAATTGCTGGACATTAGGAAGTACACACCACCCGATATTTCACCGGTTTTTGATTATTCTGATGTTTTGCTGGACATTGTAGTTGGCGGAGCTGCTGTGCTGATCAAGCGCTTCAGGACGCGCAGACAGGGGAAGCGAGCCGGCGCGCTCGTGAAGCTCAGGCAGCGCGGATTCAGAACGCCGTTGCCTAGCATCCATCTGGTGAACCTCCGCTCTTTACCCAACAAAATGGACGAACTCCTTCTGCTCTCCCGGACAAATAAGTATTTTTCAAACTCTGCTGCTCTGTGTTTCATGGAAACCTGGCTCAAAGACGCTATTCCGGACAGCGCTTGAGTCTGCCGGGCTTTCAGCTGTTCAGAGCAGATCGCGACACAGAATCAACGGGGAAATCACGCGGCGGCGGGACATGCTTTTACATCAATGAGAGGTGGTGTACAGATGTAACTGTGTTAAAGAAGATGTGGTTCAGATCTAGAAGTGCTCTTCATTAATTGCAAGCCGTTCTATTCGCCGCGGGAGTTTTGCTC